GGGGGGGGGGTTTGGGGAACCTGCCTCATTGGGGGTAAGCACCGTTTTATAGCCCGGCGGCTGTCGAAGTGATGCCGTTTTTGGGCCCAGCGGCCAATGCATCAGTTGATTCTATGGGGGTGGCCGTGACTTCCGGTGAAGGTCCAGTGAAAAGTGGTACGTTGGGGTGGTTGAATTCCGATGCAAAAAACAGCGCCCCAGTGACGGGGATCACACTCAGCACCCGAGTGGGACGGCTGAGCGAAACACACTCTGACACTGGTATTCAGTTAACTCAGTTACCACGATGGGAAGGATGGCGGTGGAACAGCATGGCGAAAAGTCCGAGAAAATTGTAGGTGTTTGAACAAAGGTTGTTTCCCTTGACTGCGGTGACGAAGCGGCTCAAGCTGCAGCGCTGCTGGGGAGGAAATGGTTTAGGGGGAAGGTATCATGAAGAACCATGGAAACAAACCAGGCAGATTAGACAGCGTGGTCAAAAGTTGCGGTGGCAGGTACACAGGGATGATCAGTCCCTGCATCCTGGTCATCTGCATAGAGCTTCGTTGGCGACAGCTATGCAGTGACCCTGTCGCCCCCTGCCGAAGTTGGTTGAGAACCCTTTGTCCAGGGGTGGACACACACACACACACGTGCCATGGAACGCCGCCGTTCATCACGCACGGCGATCCGGTGACTGCCCCACCGGGGTGGTCCGTCCCGTCACCAGGATGGCCTGGTGCTCTTGTACCCCGAGGCAGTGGAGTTCGATGTGGGCGCGGATGGTGCCCAGATTCCGCAGCTCCTCGCCTTCCTGCGGCAAGGAGGCACCGGACGTGGGTCCGGCCGGACACGGACGTGTGTCCGGAGAGTGGCAAAACAGAGTGGCTGTTTTCTCTCGCCGTTCGTTTTGGGATTTGACACACAGATTGGAATAAGATGATAGAAGAATAGGGTCAAACAATCAGTTAGATAGGTTTAGTAGGTCGTTTTCCTTTTACCCAGCCGCAGGTGGAGGTTGGGAGATGTTTGGATAGTAATTACATTCTTGTGTTGAGCCATAGCCGTAATTTAGATACCACTGTAGGGATTGACATGACTTACATTTATAGTTGGTTTTCGGGGTTTAGGTCTGTCACATCGGCCTTTTTGGGGGACTTTTGGATGCCTAAGATCACTCTCCCGGGTAAAGGGAGAGCGTTGTTTCCCAGTTGAATTGCTGTATTGGGTGGGAGTGTAGTTGTCCTTTTGGCACAGTTTGCGCGGAATTGGTTCTTAAGATTGAGTTGATCCAGGGTCATGTCTTTCTTACAGCTTCAAGCATTTCAAGCTGGCAGGCTCCTTGGGTCGCGACATTGAAGACACCATGCTCTTCGTGTGTGCGCATGCCAAGCGCGATGCCCGCTGCGGCTTTTGCGGGCCGGAACTGACCGCCAAGGCGGAAGAGCTTCTGAAGCTCAACGAGGCGACGACACTTCGGGACATGGAGACTCGCGTCGATTTTTCGTTGAGGTCGGGTCTCAGCCAGAAAGTTACAAGGACCATATAAGACATTAAGAACCATATATTTAGAGAACCGTTCTTTTTAATGAGACGAGGGGAAAGAAAGATCAGGTCACCGTTAATATGAGGTCGTTTTTCTTCTTTTATTTGGTTGCGATTATGGATTCTCGTTCTCAACATGTGGAGATCGACATCGCCTTCGAGAAAGTGGGACCGGGTTTTCATGTCCCGGTGGACCGGAGGGCTTCCTACCTTTTGAATGTAGTTGGATTCGGGTGTGTCCCGTGACCTGTGAGTCAATAAAGATGATCCCTATTTTTGAGAAAGGCCTTTGTTAACTTGTTAACTATCATCATCCACTGTGGCAGGGAATGGGATTACCCAAGGTTGGATAGAGGTTGGTTTAAACTCATATTAATCACTTCACCAGGATGTCTGATTTAAGGAGTGTGTTCGACTGTTCGACAATCATGGACCTTCGCCTCAAATCACCTTCCAAGAATGTCCGTGCCATTTTTCGTATGACATTATCGGTTGCTTTTGGACATGGTGGGTAGTGTGGTTGGGAGATTCTATCGTTGACATACATCAAGCAAGTTACCTTTCGTGCAGCCTTGAGTAAGGTAGACACATTGCAGCATTCCTATCAGTCTCGTGACATGGGGGCTTTGCTTTGCCGTTGGCTGCAAAAAGGAAGCACATAAGGAAGTGGACCCAGAGGACCTGTCGGTGGGTCCAGAGGCTTTGTCGTTGTGCAGGTGCCAGCGATGCGGATACGCAAGTGCTCGCATGTGGGCGGCCACAAATATGCGGGCAACGTCTTGGTCTACGGCAGAGACACAAGCCATTGGTGCCTCGTTCTTTTGGGAGTTGGTGTCAGTAAGAGCTGAGTTGCCAGGGGCGCTGTAGAGAGGGGGTATCATTTTGGGAGTCAAATGCCACCCGAGCAGAATGGACCAGAGCCCCTGAATTAGTTTGGTTTTGACCCATTGAAGAATAGGGGAGGGATTTGATGGGACATCTCATATCATCTTTTGTAATCGTTTGTAGTGTTTCCACTTAACCTCTATAGGGGATTTCCAGTGCTGACAGGTTGCGCTTGATTTGCCAAAGCTGCTTTGGACTCTCTACCAAGCTTGTTCAGGGTGCTTGGCCCCCTGGGTTGCGAGCTAGACACTTAACCCGTTTTGAAATGACCCAGTCATGTAAGCCTGTGGATGATTTTGGGTGTGTTCCTTGCTTGCGTCTCATTTTCCTTTCCTCTTCACACGCTGGGCCAGTCTGGTTCAGGTTCCATGTAAGTCTTCCAGGGCGCTCTCAAAGAATAGATTGACCAAATCACCTAGCTTTGGGGCGGTCAACACGTGTTATGGGAGCTGTGACCGTGCACAGGTTTCGGCCGGACCTCACAACAGCCCGTCGCCCAAGGTATGGGTACGTAACACCTTGGAACCTCAAAGGCGTTCTTTTAGGCTGGCAGTGTCTGTGTGTGTGACAGAAGGTGTGCCTTCCAATGCCTTCCCCAAACACTCCATGTACAACGCATTGTCCGATCGGTTGAGATGGTTGAAAAAGGGTCAATGTTGAGAAGTATTGAAGATCAATATTCTGCACCGCCTAAGGTGGGCCATGCCACTACCGGACACTGAGACACGTCACGCTATTGAAGATTATGGAGGTATTTGAAATGTTTGGATTCTGTTTTCATGTTCATGGTCCATTCAGTCTACTCGCTCATGGTCAAAGGATCATTTCTTGTTTCATCATGAATCATGAACCTCCAAAATTTGAAGAACATGGGATGGTTGACGTGCTGTCCTTGGAGGTTTGCCTGCACATTTGGTGCTTGAAACTACAAGCACCGCTGCAAAAAAAGGCTTTACTTCGAGTGATCCCCACCCTGAAAGGCGATTTGGAAGAAGGCAGGGCCCATGTAGTGATAGAGCCTGACAAAGGCGGACATGCAGATTGACACAATGTTCATGCGCTTGTTCTGGCATCAAGTCTGGTTTGTGCTTTGATACATCATCTATCATAAGGGTTGGAAACTGTTCTGGATTGTTTTTGACGTTTGTTGGCGTGCTGACACTTTTCCTGCGCTTGCCGTGGAGGTCCGGTAGTGCCCACTGCGATCTGGCACCTGCTTTTGTGGAACTGCGATCTGGCGCTTGCTGTGGAGGCTGGAGTTGGCAGTTGTTGAGACGAGGAGGAGAGGAGGAAAAAAAAGTCGCCAATTTCCTCTTCTAAAACCTAGCAGCCCTCACCTGACAGGTGGTGAAAAAACACATCACAGATTACAGTATCAAACAAGTTTTCAAGCATGGGCACTTCAAACATGAGGTTCTATAAGGATCGAAAGCTATATATTATATATATACCCCTAAGAATCCGGCCCGAACCATCTGGAAGCTGCAAGGGTTCGTCTCGTCCCATCTCAGTGCACCTATAGGTGTCTATAGGTGGAAGGTGGAGACTCCTTAGGTGGAGTGCCTCCCCAAAATATTTTTGATGTTCATTCCACCTACTTAGCCCCCTCTCCGCTTCCTTCAATTTCCACCCTCCATGCAAACGCTCCGCTTGTGCAGCTGGACCCTGTGGCCGCCAGGGCGTCAGCTCCGGAGCCGGCTTTGGCGCGGCCGCTTGGGCATCACTGAGCAAGAGGCGATCCAGGAGAGACGCAACCAGGCGCCGGTGGAGGAAGGGAGGTGGGAGGGTCAGGCGGACCGACCGAGTCAGGTGGTGGAAACATCTTCCAGTGGTATCAACAGCTACACGCTTTGCTGCACGCTCCACTGCGCTGGCTGGTTTTGTTTTCTCAAGGGTTTCACAGGGTATTTCATGGTGCATGTTTTGCTGGCTAGGTGGAAAATGTTGAAAACACCAACTCGAGAGGATCGACTTGTCAGGAGTGCGGGTGACTTATCCATTGATATAAGCCCCTTGAGACAAGACCATTGACATGCATCATTTTGAGGCACTAAAGTGGAACTCAAACATGTCATTAGTCCATTCTGTGTTTTGGGTGACTCTAGTAACAACGGAATTTCATCCATCCTCCTGTCTACGGGGTTGGGGGGACACTTGGACCGCTTGCAGCATGCAGGTGTGGCTTGTGGTTTCAGTCTTGGGTTTTTGGGTTGAAGAACGGCTTGGGTCTGCCCTTCACCTCCAAGATTCAGACCCAATTGCGTTCTGATCCCATCCAATCCCAGCGGATGCCCTGCAAAATTGCATACAGCCCTGCCTTTGTTCGTCGGATGCCGGGAAACAAGTTTGTGGAGAGTCAAAGGTCATGGATGATAGATTATTGATGGCAGAGCTGTCCACCAGCCCTATATCCCCACTCCAAGTCCTTTTTTTTTTTTGACAACCTCTTGGATAAAATCGAGAATCGAGCCGAGAGTTCTCAGGATGTAATAGATGAGTCAGTTGAGTCTGTACCCAATCAGGGGATAGCCTTTAACCTTTTTTGGAGCAGTGGTTTCTTGTTTTCGGTGCTCTTGTTCATTGTGATTGGGGTGGGTGCAGGCTTCAAGTCCTGAGAATAAAACCCGTGGTTCTTTGTCCTTTTTCAGGGCAGAAACAAGCTGCTTCTCCCTCACAGGTCCTACGAGATCTTCTGCCAGCCGCAGCGCTCACGGCCGCGCTGTTGGCCTTCGGTTATGGCTGGTACCGGCGGAGGAACTGACATTTTTGCATGAAAAGATTGCGCGAGGGAGGAGGGTTCCGTCTATACTTCTTGTTTGTCTTGGCGGTTCCAGGGAACCACCAAAAAATCCACTCTACAGGCCCTACTCGTGCGGAGGTTTCGTTGACAGATCAAAGAACAGTGCCCAGGCGGTCATACGGATGCTTTAGCAAATTCAACAGCAGACGAGGGGCCTCTCAACGAATCTCTGGAGCGGAAACCACAAGCCAACATGCAACCCGAGAGGATTTTTGTAGGGATGCATGGTTGTTGGGTCCTTGTACACAGCGTGTCCCTGGCCTGCGTGAAGGTTTTGTCCAACTCAAAGAATGCAAGGCTAGGCTGAAATTTGCAGAGAGCCTCGAGCTTGTCCAGATTAGTGCATGTGGTTGTAGAGAGTAAATAGAGGCTTCTGGGGTGTCTTGGTGTGTACGATCACCAATCCATTGCCAAACCTTCCAATCCAACTTCTCCCGCGGCAAGGCCAAGACAGATTGTGCTTTCAGATATTGCCCGGGACCATTTCAGTCGACAGCAGTTGAGACTTTGACCACGAAAAACGCATCGTGTTGGGACTTTCATGTGCGATTGAGAGAATTTTTTTTGATGGGTTGGTACTTGCATGACCGACCAACCCGCTGTACTCAATCGATCTTGAAATGGCTGTACACAAACACATACACACCCTTTTCCAGCACAAAAATGGACGCAGCATGCAAGTATGCCAGTGCCCATCCTTCCCACGCGGCCGTCACATGCCGTCACCCTCAAATAAACCCCCGCGCGAAAACCGGTCAACACCTTAGGCGAGAGCATCTCGAAAGCCATGCTCTCCGGAGACGGCCCGGGAACTCGGAGAGAAAAGAACCGTCGCTTCGCCGGACGACCGTCGGTGAGTTCATCAGGAAGAGGTCTGGTCTTAGCCTATTAGCTATCAGAGTTGGAAATCAAGTTTGGGCGACCGGAACGGCCGAAATTTGGTGACATTGCGGGGTCCTCGGTCGGCTATACATATACGCGGTGTCATCTTTGAACGTGAGGATCTCCCTAACCGACCGAGCAAAGCTTTTGCGAGTTTCACAGATTCTTGTGGTCCATGCCCATTTTCATGCAGTGTTTATTTTTTGTTTGATTGGTGGCTGTTGGTCATGGAACGCGTTATGGTTTCCGCCAAGATGGTGTGTGTGTGTATGTGTGAAGTGAAACCAGGGAAGTGAAAACTGCAGATTTCAATGTACTATGGTGTGTGCAGTGCCAGAATTTGATGCACCTATATACTAACCAGCAAAACGAAACACTAGCCCCACCCCAAGAACATTGCTTCCTGTTGGTTCTCGGATCTTGTTTGAAACGGATATAGACACAAATTCAACCACATGTTCAGAAGGGGCCAGATTCCCTTTTCCCTTGGGGAGCGCCGTCTTCTATTGTGTTTTTGTGTTTTCCTTATCATGAAGGCAATGATGATATGTGTGCAGAAGACAATAAACACAGAATTCCTTATCATGTGTTTGTATGATTCTTGTGGCTGCAGGAATTCTGGAAACCCTGCGTGCAGAGGCGCAAAAACCGATTCCGTGGTGAGTGGGGCGCCGGCGCTGACGATGTATGTAGAGATTCATGGGGTTCGATGAAGCAACGAATGCAGCACGACTATACACGACCCTTGGGCCATAGGACGGCCGATCACTTGGGGTGCTTGGTTTTGGGGGTCTGTCTGGGGCGGCACATGGCAGTCCCATGCACCTCTGCGTCGTCGCAGGCTCCGCGTATCGAAGGCGGGGACACCGTTTGCGGGTCGGGGTTTGCGGTGAGGAAAACGAGGGTCGTGGGGCAGACTGGAAACGACCCGTCCCGGTTTTGGGCTTTTGGTGGGCCAGGGGTGGGTGCCCGGTCTATCTACCTACCTTCTGAGGATGTGGTTGGACCATGCTGGATTTGCAGGCCCATGTTCCAGTTCCATTCCTGTTTCTAGGAGACCATGGTCTTTGTAGGGCCCAAGATGATCCAAGATGATCCAATGTTCCATGATTTAGTGAGCCGGAGTGCAGATGTGCAAGAAGTTTGTCGGCTGAGGAGCTTTAGTGCTGTGTCCAGATCGGACTCGTTGACGGAGAAAGAACGAAAGACCGAAGACATCGGACGGTGTTTGTTTGCGGCGTCCGGTTGGCAGTACGTCGATGGCTCAATTGAATTGTATTAGGATTTGGTAGTTTCATGGTAGTTTCTTGGTTTTCTGGAAGGAAGTCTCTCAACAACTGCAAGAAGCAGCAACAACAACACCAACAACAATGTTTTTCTTTTTGTAATCACCAGTTCTTCATAGACGGTCCCCTTCCAACTCCTGGTTGCTTGGCTTAGGCTTCCGATCCGACGAGATGCCATGCGTTCAGGCGCCGATAAGTTCACCGGTTGTGGCTCGTTGCGATTCTTCGTGGACATCACCAAGTCGATCAGGCAAAGTGCTGAGGGAACTGCTGAGCATGTGATGAGAACGGTGCTGTTCACTTCGGAGCCAGTTTCCAATACGCTTGGTGCAGGCAAAAAGGTTCTCCTATCCTCCCAGCAATCATGGAAGCTGTGAAGTTATATTGTTTGATATTGTTCCGCTTTCACCATGTTTGATGTTTGTCTGCCACATGTGCTGCAGGCGCTTTATGCTGCGCGAGCTTCAGCAGTGCTTCCGGGACTTTAAGACAGGACTGCACAGCTCGCCAGATGTTGTGCTGTACGACATGGATCTGATTTGGATGGTGGTGGTTGGTTTGGAGGAAGCCCAGGAGCGAAGTTCCTGAATGACTTGGCTACACGTTAGATTGTTTCTGCTGTGAAATCAAACCAAAGGTGGCAAGTCCATTTGGGGCACAGAGACGCTTTTGTTCGTGCATACTGTATCGTATGATTGGACAAGCGCCAAAAGCCTCCAGCATCACTTGAGACAAGAAACATCGATCAAAACCTCCAACAATGTTCTTCCGGAAGACTCGGTTGCAGACCAGCAAGTTCGCAGTTGGTTGCTGGTAGCTCCCACCTCGAATGCTTGGGAGAAAAGACCATTTGAGACTATGGTACCCTAGGGATGAGTTGCCACTATCTCAACTTGGATCGGATGTATTTGGCAATCACTGGGTGTTCGTGTGAGTGTAGCAGTGCGTTCCTGCTTCGATGGACTAGCACGTAGGAATACTGCCTCTTGCTGCCATCTCCATGAAGACGTCAAGAGCGTGGTATGTCGCGGTATACTCCTGTTTGAGGAAGCTTTGACAGCACACTCATGTGGTTGTAGATGTATAGCGAGTTTAGTAACTAACTCGTGGCTCAAACTTGAAGACTAAACAACACCCGAGTCGTGGGGTCGTGGGTCTCTTGAAACACCTCAGGAATGGGTCCATTTCAAGCCCAATCAGTGGCTCCTCTTGCTCGTCAAAGCCGGGCGTTCGTCCTACGCCCGCCCGTCAAACCGGACGTTCGTCCTGACTTTCGGCTTCACGAGGCGAGGGGTTGAAACATCCGGCAGGAACTGAAGATCAAGAGCCCGGTGAACTACAAGTCTGTGATGCATTGTCCTTGCAGTTGTACCTTGGTGCAGGAAGGGAAAACATAATAAAGACCGTCGTTGCAGTCCGAGGATCCTCCCAGTGGTCCCAGTGATCGTCGGGGTTCAAACGTCCCTGGTTTCATCGGTGAAGATCCGGGACGTTTCGCGTCAGAGCGACGTGGCTCGCAACGGTTTCGGTGAGCTGAGCTGGTTGCAATGAATGGATTCAGCACCGAAGAGCTTGTGAACTGCAAGATAAAGTAACCACATGCAGCTAAAGTACATTATTGTCCGATTATTCTGAGTTAGAACCCTGCCCCGGAAACGTGGATGACCCTTGGACTTGGAGATTGATTTCCTCACAAATTCTGTTCCATTCTTTTTCAGGGAAATGGCCCGGAAGTCAGGAGGACATGTCCGCACGAGAGGCAAAGTTCTAGCTCTGACTGGATAATATGTTTCCTCTCCCAAGTGGCAAGCCCTGGCATGGCACCCGGAAGAAATCGTCTTGGTGAGTCAGGTTTCACTTCGAATGATTTGGAGTCAGTGTATTCACTAATTTAGCAGATCTGGTCAGTTCGGACTTTGTCTCCCTTCTTAGCCTTGCACCGCACATCTCAGGTGGCTTCCTTTCCTACGGGAGTGGGGCATCCTAGTGTCCTCGTGCCGGGAGTGAGCAGCAATCCGCGGACGATCGGGTGGCCTCAGCTACCGTCACCAGAGTCGGGGTGAAAAGAATGACCCGATATTCCAGGTACTTGCGTCAGAGACCAGAGCAGTGGGAATACAAAGATCACACATTTCCTGCAACGTTGGAAATTGCAGCAATTGTTGGTTACTGGATGTTACTGGTTGGAAGATCCTGAAATCCACTTTGAACCATGAAATTAGATCTTTATGGTCCTTTATGCAATGCTTCTAGTCCATATTGTGTACTGTAATGATTTCTAAACGATGTTGTTGCTCAATGCCGGAGAAACGCTCAGTGCACCAATCGGTTCTCACTCTTACATAGTCGGTGCATGTCGGCGCTTTTTGAATGGTTTTCTTTAGTGGACAGTGGACCTTTCCCAAGTCTGTAATATGGAATTATACACCATGAATTACCCCAAATAACAATACAACTGGCAAAAAGAAACCACACATAGAAATGCCTAAACATCCCGCAACAAAGCAAACCCTTTTGTTGCAAACATCGAGATCGATTTGCACGGGGTCATTCGCACCACAATCTTCCATTCAGGGGCTTTGTGCAGGACGGTCATGGTGCGATGGTGCATGCCTTGATCGATCAACTCTCCTGTTTTTGCCAAGCAGAAAAGCCGTGGCAACCCCAAGGGTACCAAGGGCACCAAGCCGTGGTTCACCAGCCAAAACGATACCCAAATGCTCCATGAGACTGCCATATTTGCATACATTGGGGTTGTTGAAAAGGGGTCAATGTGGCGGCCTATATGGCAGCCCCATGGAGCGT